GTGGTACTGTCATCACTCAATGAGGTTGAACTAATATTAATATTTTTCCTCTTGAATGAAGTATGGGCTCACGACATTCCTGTATACCACACTCTTGCAGGCAGGCTGCCAGTGCCCACAGTAGACTATATGTAGAGGAGCAGTCAATAAATACACATTATATTATATTTATAATGCTCGCCTTCAGACTGTGTTCAAAACAAGTTAGGATCATGCATTACTCCCGGTAAGTCTCAGGGCATAGGCGCTTGATACAGTGCGCCGGGCTTTGGGGTTCAAAGAGGCCGCCCGAGGACGATGCACAGGCGGTGCGATGCACTCTTCAGCCCAATAAAGGTCAAGTCTGTTAGCAAGACTATGAATGTACAGCACTAAGACCTTTTACAAACAACAAGAGAAAACTGTATGTTTACTGTGTATAAATGTTTACACCAAGTTTACATGACTTCATTTACACACACAGAAACGGTAAACAGTAATAAATGTTTATAAACAGTAAACAAACAAAACGGTTGGAGCCTTACCTCATGATGATTTCTGGTTCGTTACATAAGCAAGTTTGTGGAATCCTAGCACTCGATACTTCCGGACGTTACTCAATCAGCTGCGAAACTGGTCATTAACTAGTCATTAACTCGCGCAACACTGGCTCAATCAGCTGCGAAAAAATTGCTAGGAAACGATCACTGGTCGTCGAGACTGTGTCAGTTCGACAACACTCTCGCCCTCGCGTTCGTTTTACATACAAACTGAGGAGACACCCGTAGTCCTACAATCAATGATCTCGACAACATGGAGAGTACTATCGCAAACAAACCCAAACTAACCTCACGAAAGGAACCCACTCTGCCGCCAATACTCCACCCAGGCCCTGGCATGTGCGTCGCCGATGGCCGGCGCGTCCCGCAAGGCCTTGCTGCACTGCTGCATCCTCGCCGTCGAGTACGCCGGGAGCCCACCGGCCTCCATCGGGCAGCCCCCTCTCACCGCAGACGCGGCGGCGGCGGCCTCGCCTGCGCCGACCTCGCGGAAGTACTGCAGGAGCTTCAAGGCGGGCTGGCGAAGGGGAGAGGGTGCGCGTTGTCAGTTCACACATCGAACGGCCAGAGAACAGGAGAAGAAAAGGGGAGCAGGGTACGTACGAAGCGGTCCATGTTGAAGCTGGTCATGGGCAGCGCCGCGACGGCGGCGAGCCAGGCGGCGTACGGGACGACGGGCAGGGGGCTGTGGCGGCGCCCTCTGCTGCCCAGGGAGGCGTTCAGCGCCCGGACGACAGCGCGCCACTCTACGGGGTGCGGGTGGACGAGGTTGAGCGTCGGCGGGAGGCGGGCCGCGGACAGGACGAGGTCGACGAACGTGTCCGCCACGACGTCCGCGGGCGCCCAGGAGACCGTCTGCAGATTTTAGGTGGTTTGGTCAGCAAGTCTCTCTCTCACGAGCGGCGAACGGGGAGCGGATGCGCGCACGCACCCCTGTGAGGTCTGGGAACGAGCCCAGGTTGACGCTCGTCTTGACGAGGATGGGGAGCCAGTCCTGGGCGGACCAGGCGCCCGACGCTTCAGGTCCGCAGACCTGGCCCAGCCGGATGGCCGTGCACTCGAGGCCGCGTGCGGCCGCACGCGCCAGCACCTACAAGAAAAACAACGACAACAACACCACGCGTTCAGCGCCGCCCAGACGCAAAAAAGCCCAAGCACACCGAATGCGCGCACCTGTTCCACGACGAACTTGGACGCGCCGTACCCGTTCGCTGCGGCCACGCGCGGGTCGGGCAGCGCCTCCTCGGGGACGGGCCCCCGCGCGACGTCCCAGCGGTAGGTGGCGGAGACGGAGGACGTGAAGAGGAGCCGCGCGGGGCGCGAGCGGGCGGCGGCGGCGCTGCTGCTGCTGCTGCTGCTGCCGCTGCAGAAGTCGAGCAGCCTCCGCGTCCCGGCGACGTGGCACTCGAACGCGTCGAGGGCGCGGTTGAAGTCGACGTGCCAGGCGTTGTGGATCACGTGTGTCACGCCCGTCTTGAGCTGCAGGCACGCGTCAGCAAGCTCGGAACAAGAAGAAAGAGTGGAAGAGAGCTCGGCGCTCGTCGCGTTACCTCCTCGAAGACCCTCGGCCTGAGCCCGAAGCCGTCGTCGTTCAGGTCTCCCGTGAGCTGCACGAGCTTCGGGGCTTCGAGCAGCCACGGGTCGAGGCTTCTCTCCGTGAACGCCGTCTGCTGGCGGTCGTACGTCACCCGGGCCTTCCGGTTCAGGGTGTACACCTTGCCGATCCGCGGGTTGGCCAGGAGGGACGCGAGGATGTGCGCGCCGACCGCGCCGGTGGACCCGGTGAGCAACACAGCGACCTCGCGGCCGTCGCGTTGTCCCTCCGCAGCAGCAGCAGCGGCCGCCGCGGGCAGGTCCGCCGCGTACTTGTCGACCATGGCCCGGACGGACTCTTCCCAGGCGCCCCTCGCGGCGCCCGCGCCCGCTCCCGAGTGGACGTCCTGCCCGGTGAGGATGCCGATGGCGATGGCGAGGTTGCGGAGCGTCGGGTGCTCGAACACGAAGTTCTGTGAGACGTGCCGCGCGGACGGCCTGGTCTCGGGGTCGGCGCGGAGGGCGCCGATGATGCGGTTCCGGAGGAACGTCGCGTACAGGCTCGCGGGGCGGGGCCTCGTCAGCAGGGGGGGGGGGCGCATTCTGCGCGAGCGAAAAGACGGGCTCACCTGTCGAACCCTTGGTCGAACAGATCCTTGGACGGCGGGATGGTGTCGCGGTTGGTCAGGATGCAGGCGTGTTTCTGGAGCCACGCTTGCACGTCGGGGACCGTCCAGGAAGGCGGCGGCGGGATGTTTTCGGTGTTCCCGCTCTGTTCTACAGTCGCATACCTGACCAAACGCGATCGTGTCAGTCGCGATGGGCTTCGCTTGTGGCTGCTTACAAGTTGTTGATTTCTCTCTCATAAACAGCTAGCGCTTGCTTCCGGACGATTGTCCCCTTGGCGGCGCGAGGTAGAGGTCTAGCTGGGTCTGTGATGATGACCATTTCCTTGAATATCTTTGCGAACGCAGGAGCGGCGCGGTTCGCTTCCTCAACAACCGGCCTGAAGGGAGTTGAGCCATCATCCTCTGACTCTCCGCA